TCATATATGAACCTTGAAAAACCATGGAGAATGGGAGAAATGCCATAAGATTGGAGACTAGTGGGCGGAGCCAAGATGGCAGAGTCAGAGCAGGAACTTGCTTTAGCTCTCCCCCAACCCCCTCCAAACACCTGCAAAAAATGACTCCAGACAAATTCTAGAGCAGCAGAACCCACAAAAAGACAGAGTGAAACAAATTTCCAGCCCAAGACAACCAGGAAGTTAGACAGGAAAGGTCTATTGCACCAGGCTGGAAGAGGAGTACAGTCCTTGCCAGAACAGACCAGGCCTCAGCAAACCAAGAGCAGGCCTCAGAGGGCTGAATTGCAGGCAGCTGTGGTGGTTTCCAGACTTCTCAACCCACAAACACCAAAGACAACTTAGAAAGTCAGTGGGAAAGATCTGTTGGATCTGAGTGAGAGAAGAGCCTGATCTAATCCCAGCTACAGCACAGCCACAGGGCAGCTGCAGCAGCAGCAGAGGTGGTGGCGGCAGCAGCAGTGGCGGCAAAAGCTGCTGCTTCTGGAGCTCTCAGCCCACAGATGGTAAGGGTATCAAACAACTGATAAGAAGGAGATTATAGGGATCTCTTTGCTGGCACTGCAGCAGGATTCTAGGGTGAGGAGGAGCACTGGCATAGCAGAGATTATGGCAGTAGTGCAGAGAGAACCCTCCTCACAGTTCCAGGACAGAAAAGAGTGCTTGTGGTCACTCACAGACCAGAGCACAGACCAAGTAAGGAGTAAATATCCCTCCATAGATCATACCACCTTGGAAGACTGAAAACTTACTGGTCCCCAGAAGTATCTCGGAGAACAGCTACACAAAACCCCTGAAGCTTGGGATAGTACACCCTCCACACTGGAAGCAGACCCCTACCTTAACAAAGAGTTTAAAACTCAAATAATTGGCTGGGAAAATAAGCAAATGATGGGGAAAAAAACCCTTCAGACTATAGAATCTTACTTTAGTGACAAGGAAGATCAAAACATACAATCAGAAGAAAACAACAAAGTCAAAGCTCCTACATCCAAAGCCTCCAAGAAAAATAAGAATTGGTGTCAGGCCATGAAAGAGCTCAAAAAGGATTTTGAGAAGCAAGTAAGAGAAGCAGAGGAAAAATTGGGAAGAGAAATGAGAGTGATGCAAGAAAATCATGAAAAACAAGTCAACAGCTTGCTAAAGGAGACCCAAAAAAATACTGAAGAAAATAACACCTGAAAAAATAAACTAGACCAAATGGCAAAAGAGGTCCAAAAAGCCAATGAGGAGAAGGCCTTAAAAAGCAGAATTGGCCAAATGGAATAGAAAGCCCAAAAGCTCACTGAGGAAAATAATTCCTCAAAAATTAGAATAGAGCAAATGGAAGCTAATGGTTCTATGAGAAATCAAGATATTATAGAACAAAACCAAAAGAATGAAAAAATGGAAGGCAATGTGAAATATCTCATTGGAAAAACAACTGACCTGGAAAATAGATCCAGGTGAGATAATTTTAAAATTACTTAACTACCTGAAAGCCATGATCAAAAAAAGGGCCTAGACATCACCTTTCAAGAAATTATCAAGGAAAACTGTACTGATATTCTAGAACCAGAAGGTAAAAAAGAAATTGGAACAATCCAGTGATCACACCTCCTGAAAGAGATCCCAAAAGGAAAACTCCTAGGAATATTATAGCCAAATTCCAGAGTTCCCAGATTAAGGAGAAAATACTGCAAGCAGCCAGAAAGAAACAATTCAAGTATAGTGGAAACACAATCAGGATAACACAATATTTAGCAGCTCCTACAATAAGGAATAGGAAGGTCTGGAATATGATATTCCAAAGGTCAAAGGAGCTAGGATGAACCAAGAATCACCTACCCAGTAAAACTGAGTATAATCTTTCAGGGGAAAAAATGGATAGTCAATGAAATAGAGGATTTTCAAACATTTCTGATGAAAAGACCAGAGCTGAATAAAAAAATCCGATTTTCAAATACAAGACTAAAGACAAATCACAAGGGACTTATTAAAGTTGAACTGTTTACATTCCTACATGGAAAGATGATATTTGTAACTCATGAGATCTTTCTCACGGTATTAGGGTAGTTAGAGGGAATACACATACATATACACACACACACACACCACACACACACACACACACACACACGCACGCACACATAGGGTGAGCTGAATATGACGGGATGATATCTAAAAAAGAAAATTAAGGGGTGAGAGAGGAAATGTACTGAGAGAAGGAGAAAGGGAGAGGCAGAATGGCATAAATTACCTTACATAAAATAGGCAAGAAAAAGCTTTTACAGTGGAGGGGAAAAGGGGAGGTGAGAGGAAATGAGTGAACCTTACTCTCATCAGATTTGACTTAAGAAGGGAATAACATACACACTTAATTGGGTACGGAAATCTATCTTACCCTACAGGAAAGTAGGGGGAATGGGGGGTAGATTTGGGGGAGGAGGTAATCGGAAGCAAACACTTTTGAGAACATACAGGATCAAAAGAGAGAATAGAATAAATGGCAGGTAGGATAGGACAGAGGGAAATATAGTTAGTCTTTCACAACATGACTATTATAGAAGTGTTTTGCATGACTACAGATGTATAACCTATATCAAACTGCTTGCCCTCTCAATGAGGGTAGGTGGGGAGGGAGGAAGGGAGAAAATCTGGAACTCAAAGTTTTAAAAATGAATGTTAAAAATTGTTTTTACATGCAGCTGGGAAATTGAGGTACACAGGCAATGGGGTATAGAAATCTACCTAAATGAAAATCTATCTACAGAAAAATAGATGGGGAAGGGGATAAGATAAGGCAGGAGTAGAGGGGGTAACAGAAAGGAAAGCAGATTGGGGGAAGGGGTAATTAGAATGCACACCTTCATGGGGTGGGTGGGGGGATGGGAGTAATGGGGAGAAAATTTGGAACTCAAAATCTTGTGGAAGTGAATGCTGAAAACTAAAAATAATCACTCCCCCCAAAATAAAAATTTGTTTAAAAATTTTTAAAAATGAAAAATGAAAAAAAATCTGTCTTTGGCAAAGGACTGCTAAACTATGTTCCAAATTAAAGCAACTTTTAGACTTAGCTTATCTATATCATTATTACCATTATTATTATTATTCTGTGAACAAGTAATAAATGTGAGCTATAACAATAATAATTTCTTATCCCTAGAAACGCTAAGTTTGAAGAGACCTTCAAAGGTGGTCCAGCCAAATTCATATTCCTTGAAACATATATTCCTTTTACTCTAGAAGACAAGCAGTCATCCTGTTTTTGCTGATGATGATTGTATCTTAACCACTTAGTACAGTTTCTGGGACATAGTCAAGAAGCTCCTATCAAGAACTGGCTATGTGCCAAGTACAGTGCAAATACAGCAGATGCAAAAAAGGCAAAAACAGTTTCTTCCCTCAAGGAGCTCACAATCCAAAGGTAGAAACAACATGCAACCATGAGCAACTAAGATATACACAAGGCAAACTGAAGACAATCAAATAGGTCTATGGAAAAAGTCCAACCTAGCTACAACTCACAAGCAAAGACACATTGGCAGGAATTAAAGTAAGAACAGTAGCTTCTTTGTGAGGTCTATGTCCCAGGCACAGACGTTAAAAGACTGAACATATAAGCAGACATAAAATTGAATCCACAACCCACAAAACTGGGGCAGCAACATACAAGTTTTCAAAAAGGCCAATAGGCCAAAAGGCTGGCATAAGGATGTTAGGATAAAGATAGGGCAGTCTGTCAACAAATATTTATTAAATACCTATTATATGCCAGGCACTATACTAAGTACTAGGGATACAAAAAAAGGCCAAAGACAGTCCCTGCTCTGAAAATGTTCACACAGTCTAATAGGGGAGACAACAGGAAAACAACTATGTTGAAACAAGACACATACAGGATAAATTGGAGATAGTCAAAAGAGGTAAGGCAATATTACTAAGGAAGAGCTGGAAAGATTTGTTGTAGAAAGTAGGATTTTAAGTGGAACTTGAAGCCATGAGACGGCGACAAGGAGGGGAAAAAGTCCAAGCATGGAGGACAGTCAGTGAAAATAAAAGAATCTAGAGACAGAGTGTCCCATAAGAGGAACAGTAAGGAAATGAGGATCACAGAGTATATGGAGCAGAGCAAGGTATAAGAAAAATGAAAAGGTATGAAGGGGTTAGGTTGTGAAGGATTTTGACTATTACAAAGATAACTTTATATTGAATACTAAAGGTGATAGGGAACTATTGAAGTTTATTGAATAGAGGTTTTCATGGAAAGATCAATTTGACAGCAGAGGATGGACTGCAGTGGGGAGAGATTTAAGGCAGGGAAACCAACCAGTAAGCTATTGCAATAGTCTAGGTGTGAGGTGATACGGGCCTGTATGAGGTGGCAGTGTCAAAGGAGAAAAGAGGATGTATACAAGCAACATTACAAATGTAGAATCTACGGGATTTGGCAACAGATTAGATATTGATGACAATAATGATTGGGCTCTGTGTGTGTGTGTGTGTGTGTGTGTGTGTGTGTGTGTGTGTGAGAGAGAGAGAGAGAGAGAGAGAGAGAGAGAGAGAGAGAGAGAGAGAGAGAGAGAGAGAGAGAATGCACACATGGGTGAGAAAACACATGCACAATGAATGTTTTATGATATGTAGGTTGAGAGTCTCTTTTATTTAAGTGCATATAATATCTTCTTACTCATGTAAAACAATGTAAACAATAGTCGTCACACTGGCTTTCATGGAAGAGGAAACTGGCCATGGACAATATTTTCTCCTTTCTCTTCTCTTCTCAAGGGAACTGAAAACATGTATAGTTAATAACAAACTTACCCACAACCAGGCCACCAATGCCCCAAAGTTATGTCAAAAAGGAAAGAAGTCAAAGCTAAAGTATTAACTGAATTGCTAAGCAATGTATGTTTATATTTCTAAAATTTTACTTAACATGTTTTACAGTTATCAGCAAAGTATAACAATTGCATACTTACTTCATCCATTTTCATACAAGTGCCAAAATCTGCTAATTTCAGATGTCCATTTTTATCCAAAAGCATGTTGTCAGGTTTCACATCTCTGTGTATTAAACCCATGGAGTGTATTGCATCCAAAGCCAGAACAACTTCAGCTGTGTAAAATTTGGCCCATTTTTCAGGTACGTCATAGTTACTCATAAGGTTTACAAGGTCTCCACCAGGCATGTATTCCATTACCATATAAAGATATCTATCATCTTGAAAGGCACAAAAGAGCTGGAAAAAGAGAGAAGTGAAAGATATACTACAATTACTTCTGAGAAAAACAAGTAATTGGTTAAAAATACACACTGAAAAAATTATTTTCAATCTCTTGTCTTAGATTTGGGTACATCTTATTTTGTTCTGTTTCTATGTGGGGAGAGGGGAACACCACAACCCAATCTGTGCAACACAAAACTTCTGTATATGCCCCCCCATAAGCTTACATTCAAAACATAAATCAATCATTGCCCTTTTGGGGGATGAAAACGAACCATTTTTTTTCAACAGAAGCACTTTGGAAAAAGTGTGGATGTGGAAAGGCAGGCATAAAATCCACAGCCAGTATTCAATTAATATTTGCTGAATGAATTTGCATGTATTCAACTTTAAAAGAATAGTAGTAGTGAAATTTTAAATAAAATATTAGAAAGGAGATTACAGCAATCTATCAATCACAAGGATCATATCCTCCGACCAGGTAGGATTTATACCAGGTTCAACATCAGGAAAACTAGCAGCATAACTGACCATATCATACAACAAACAATGGACCATATCAATAACAAAACCAACAAAAATCATAAAATTATCTCAACAGAGACAGAAAACACTTTTGAAAAAAATACAACACCCATTCCTATTAAAAAAAAACAGTAGAGAGCATAGGAATAAATGGAGCTTTCCTTAAAATGAAAAGTAGTAATTATCTAAAACCAAAAGCAAGCATTATCTGAGATGGAAATAAGTTAAGAGTCATCCCAATAAGATCAGTGGTGAATCAAGGATGTCTGTTATCACCACTATTACTCAATATTATACTAGAAATGTTTGCTATAGCAATAAGAGAAGAAAAAAGAAATTGAAGGAATTAGAATAGGCAATGAGGAAACAAAACTATCACTCTTTGCAGATGATATGATGGTATACTTAAAGGATCCTAGAGAACAGACTAAAAAAACCAGCTGAAATAATTAACAACTTTAGCAAAGATGCAAGATATAGAATAAACCCATAAGTATGTCTATATATTGCCAACAAAGTCCAATAGCAAGAAATAGAAAGAAAAATTCCATTTAAGATAATAACCGTAGACAATATAAAATACTTGGGAGTCTGTCAAGACAAACCCAAGAACTATATGAACACAATTACAAAACACTTTTCATACAAATAAAGTCAGATCTAAACAACTAAAAAATATCAATTGTTCATGAGTAGGCTGAGCCAATATAATAAAAATGACAATTTTACCTAAATCAATTTACTTACTCAGTACCATACCAATCAAACTACCAAAAATTATTTTATAGAGCTAGAAAAAAAATCATAACAAAATTCACCTGGAAGAACAAAAGGTCAAAAACATCAAGGGAATTAATGAAAAACAAATGTGAAGGAATGTGGCCTAGCCATACCAGATCTCGAACTGTATTATGATGTGATAATCATTGAAACTTTCGGGTATTGGCTAAGAAACAGAGTGATGGATCAGTAGACTAGATTAGATACATAAGACACAGTAGGAAATGACCATAGTAATGTAGTATTTTTAAAAATTCCTATCATAAAGAATTATAGGCCCAGTAAGTTTTTCTGGTTTTGATGGGGGTAATATTAATAAGAGAGGATGTAACTTTTCTTTGCAATACATTATTTCCATACCTAAATATTTCCTTAATAAATTAAAAGTATCTAAAATACCCTGTAAACCTTAAAGTACCATATAAATGTTATTATTTGTACATGTTATTAAAGTTGTAGATATTTTTAAAAGGAATAAAAAAAGGAATATTATGAAAGAAATAAAAACTCATGCTATATGCCTACAGCTTCCAATAGGGCTTTGCTCTTTATCTTCAATATGTGTAACAGTCTAATGTTCAATAAAGTCAATTAGGAATGATAACCGCCTAACAGTAATTACCCCTAAAAACTGAAGTGATAGTAAGGGAATGTGCCTGTAATAGATCCTTAATTTTTTTATTTTATGATGATGACTAACTTTGACTTATCTGTGACCAAAAATGACAGCGTAAGCAGTAGACAGAAACTACAGAGATGTAGATTTAGGCTTGCAATAAGGAAAAACTTTCTAAAAATCAGTGCTATCCAAAAGTATATTGGGCTGCCTTGGGAGGTAGTAAGTTAATCCTCGCTAGTTAAAAGACTCATTTCCCCTCTTCCATTTGGCCTCATATGTTGTTTTTTTTGGGTTTTTTTGTTCTTCCAATTAGAGCCTCGACTACTACCTTAGGTTATTGTGGAGCTCAAATGAGGAGGTATATGACAGTACTATGAATGCTATCAAGCTATACATCAAAGGAGCTATACATCAATTATTCAACTGCTTTCATATGGCAGTCAGCAGCCAATACTATGTTTTCTCCACAGTAAACATTTAATAAATGTTGAACTAAGAATGAATGACCAAAGGCATCAAACTTTATGACAGTAGGCTAGGGTTAATGGAACAACAGTCTGTGACCAAAAAACAGAAAACAAGTAATTAGTTGATCCATATAAATATAAAATATTCTTACACAGCCCCCACCTTTGCCAGCCACTGTGTGTGTGTGTGTGTGTGTGTGTGTGTGTGTGTCTCTCTCTCTCTCTCTCTTCCTAAAACATTTAATTGTAATAGAAGCTTCTGACTATAAGAATTCCTATTCATAAGCTACAAAGAAAGGTCAATTCAGCAAGCATTAACTAAGTGACAACTATGTGACAGGCACTGTGTTAACAGCTGAAATAAAGCTAGGGGAAAAAAGAGAGAAAAAAAGCTTGGTAATGTTCCTTTATTTATCTTACTCAGTTTTGTAGCATATTTTTAAACCTAAATTGGATTTCCCTGGCATTCATCATACTTCTGAACCACTTCTCAGCTAAAATGTTTGTGTGTACCCTCATTTTCATGCATTATTTTATAACAATTCTGAGTTTCATACTTCCTTTGCTGGACTGTAAATTCCAGGAAAGCAAAAAGTATGTCTTATTTCAACTTTATATCTAATCTAATACATAACACAACATTCTGTATACACAGCAGGCACTTCATAAATACCTGTAAAATTCAACTGATGTATGATCAACTGTTTTAATAATATAAATTAAAAGGTAATTTTTTGGGGAAAGAGAACAAATATAGTTAATTTAAAGTGTTTGAAAACATTTTAAAATTATTTATATGACATTATTTTCCTCCATTCCAATAATTACAGAAGTAATTTTAAAATCTCATTTAAAATTTAGGTTTCTAAATTTGGCCTTTTTATTTCAGAAACAGAGTAATAAAGCACACTATAAGATACTGCCAGGAAAGCATTAAAGATGGCTCAATGTATCAAATCCTGTTAACATTAAGCTTCAGTGTTGAAACTTTATAAACATCATACAACAAGCATAATCATATTGGAGTTTCAGCAAACAAAACATGCATTCTCACATATGATTTAAATTTACTGAGTATACTGTACTTACCTGAACAATCCAGGGACTATTAGCAAAGGCCATGATATCTCGTTCTTCCCAAAAAAAAGCAGAATCTGATCTTTTTATCATTTCAAATTTACTAAGAAGCTTCATGGCATAAACATTCTGTGACTCTTTATGACGAACCTGTTGATTTACAAACAGCAAAATTATCATTAGTGCTTTTTTAACAAGAGATATTAATTAATTGGGCACTTGATCTGCAATGCTATTATTAATTATATCAGTTGCAAAATATGATGTAAAGCAGCTCTCTAATAAAAAATCGCATAAATTCTTAATAAAGGAAAAAAATGCCTAGGTAGCTTGGATAAATCAATGATAGAACACCTGTCCAATATTAACTATGAGAACCTCTCATTTCATTAACAAAAACTTAACATCAGTTCCATAAATTGCTGGATTAAATAAACAAAAGAATAAACCACCACTTCAAAGAAAATATGCATATGTTAACTAATGGGATGAAGCACATTTACAAAGTTTAAAACATGGGTATACACATTGTTTTAAATAGTAACCTTACCAGAAACTTAGTATTTCTATAAAGGGAGGGGCAGGAGGGGAAGAAGAGAATAAATGTATTTCTGATAAAATGGTGTTGTTTTTCTAACACTAGATTCAACTCCTAAGGAGGGAAAAAACCTACCTAAATAAACAAAGCTTTAATCCCTAATTCTTCCTCTAAGCAACTTCCACTTTTTTTTAATGGCACATAAAAGCCTAGACAAAGTTCAATGCACCTCTCATTTCCATCAGAAATAGTAGAGAAAGACATTTTTTAATAATGAAATTACTGGAAAAGAAACCTAATTTGATATGCAGGGAAATGTTTAAAAAAAAAAAAAAGGTTGGGCAGAAACTAAAGATAAAAGTAGGAGTAGGCTAAGTGGGCAGAAGCCTAATGATTAATGGTTCAATCCTGCATTCCTCTCTGGCCTCCACTGTGGACACTATGGACTTCATTCCCCACCACATCCAGCAGCCTTCTCACCCAATCCCTATAACTCCTTCCTCTAATTGGTCAGATTTTGGGGGGAACCTCCATTTTAAGGAAAAGTGCCCAGGTCAGCCAAGTTTACTCTTTTCTTCTTTTCTGGGATGCTCATGACTCTGGACTTCTTTTTCCACAATTCCTCTCCCTATGCCTCAAAAGGTTTTTTCCCAAACCCCCTTCTTTTCAGCTTCCTTTTATTTGTAGTCTTCCCTCATTAGAATGTAAGCTTCCCTAAGGGCATGTGCTATTTTACTTTTTCCTTGTATTTGTATCTACAAAAACTAACCCAGCGCCTGGCACAAAGTTAGCACTTAATAAATGCTTATTGACTATATACTGATAATAACAATAAGGAAAATGAAAGGTTTAAATCGGGACCATTGACACAAGAAACTGTCAAAGGGTTATCCTTAAGCAGGACAGATTTAGTAATCCACGTACATTATGTAATGAAATGGTGGAAACAATACATCACATCACTACTGGTTATAAAAATTAAGTATATACTGAATATGTATCAAGAACTGGTAGTTAGAATAATACACCATAAGTTCATGATCTTTTATGGACTGATGGATGACATATCTCCATACTACAAATATAGACCTCAAAATATCCTAGAGAACATCAATAGACTATGTTGGAACCAGACCATTATAAGAGACCAACCAAAACTGTTACCCACAATGCTCTGGGTATAATACCAAACTGGTTCCTAAAAACTGAAAAAAAAGTTTTTAATAAGAGTCCCAAATGAAGAAATAAAAAGTTTTCAAAATAGAGAAACTTGGCCAAGAAGATCAAAATTAGGTGAGGAGAGAATAAAGTACCTGTTAGCACTGTAGAACTGCATCAACAATGGTTTTTTTCAGTAAACCTAAAGGAGAATAAGTTTACATCCCATTTAAAAATTAAAAAGTTAGGGGGCAGCTAGATGGCGCAGTTGGTAGAGCACAGGCCATGGAGTCAGGAGGACCTGAATTCAAATATGGCCTTGGACACTTGATATGTACTAGCTGTGTGACCCTGAGCAAGTCACTTAACCCCACTACCTAGCCAAAAGAAATAAATAAATAAATGAGAAAAAAAATTTTTGAGGCGGCTAGGTAGTGCAATGGATAGAGAACCAGCCCTGAAGTCAGGAAGACCTGAGTTCAAATCTAGCCTCAGACCAAACACTTGACACTTACTAGCTGTGTGACCCTGTGCAAGTCAAATAACCTCAATTGCCTTAAATAAATAAACAAATAAATAAATAAGTAGTAATTTTATCCATTTGTAAAATAGTCTTTGGAATATTAAATGCAAAGGAATAAAAGAGGATAGCAACTTGTCCCAAGATAGTTTGTTTCTATCAGGAGTTCTTAACCTAGGGTCTGTAAAATTATTTTAATGTTAAAATATTTTGATAAGTATATTTTCTTTCAATAGAATTAGTTTCCTTTGCAAGCCTATATATTTTATTTTGTTCACGTATAAAGAAAGTGTCCATAGGTTTCAGACTGCCAAAAGGGTCTATGATACAAAAAAGATTAAGAATCCATGGTAAAACTGAACCCCCTCAAAAAGAACAAAATAAAAATAATAACTTCTACCTTTATAGCATTTCTAATGTTTGCAACATGCTTTGCATACATTGCCCTATTTGATCCTCACAACTCTGTGATGCAGTTGCTATTTCTGCCCCAATTATAAAGATGAAGAAACAAAAGCCCAGAGACATTAAGAGCTGCCCACAGTCACACACAGGACTAATAAGCATCCAAAGCTACATTTAAATCCCGGCCTTTCAGACATCAAGTCCCAAGAAGCCAACAATGCGTCTGGGGTAATACAGAATATAGTTTTCAATATTTTTAAACTAAATTCATATAATTTAAATACCCTCAAATCCAGATTTTTGTCCTCTATTTTGTGATAGGCTGAGGCAGTCTGTCATAAGTGAAGGCACAAAGATATATATGAATAGTAACAGACAGGAAGTGGGATCTGACTAAGCCAAGTACGTACTGGGTCCTGCCTCCATCAGAAAAAAATAAGAATGTAGAGGAAAACAAACATTTTGCTCCTCCCTTCTAAAGGAATTAAGTCATTTCCTAACCAGCTGCTATACTGAATTCACCACTTTAGAACAGAAGGCAAAACAAAAATGCAAGGTTAAACTTGATTTTATTACAAATAAAAACATTAGATAGATTCTATGATGGGTTTATGAATGGTAAGATACAACAACAAAGTTCAGGATCACAATTTCCTGAATAGATTCCAAGAATTATTACATATCCATAGCTAAATGCAACTTTTTTAAATTTTCTATTTTAAGATATTTCTCCCCTATTTTGATGGTTTGCAATTCCATGAGAATTAGCTCCATACAAAAGGCTAAGTACATGACAATAAAGAACAAGATAATCCATCTACTATAAAAACTGCTAAATTCAAATTCACAAAAAATTACTCGAATAACTCTTCCAGTACTCTATTTTCAAAGGTCTAAGTGTTTCTCTTCTGAAGCAACATTAGATCACTGGTAGATAAGAAAAACTGAATTACCTAGAGTCTCAAAACTGTGAGACCCTACAATTCTGCTTCCAATTCTTTTTTGCTAATCAGTGTTGAATTAGATCAGCCCAAAGCAAATGGTGAATCTATGCAGCTCTTTTCCCTGCTATATTTCTGTATACCAAATGGAATTCTGAATTATTCCTAACTTCATTAGGGGAGCCCCTCTTTGTATATTTAAGAGATCAATTAATTCCACTGTAATAATACTTATGGTTGATTCATGAAATATGTATAACTCTGGCTATAGGAATTTTGTTATGAAGAATAGAGTAGAAATAATTCTACCTATTTACCAGCTAGTTAAACCACATAAATTTTTAAAAAACCCAAATTTAAAAAAAAAAAACAAATAAAAGCAGTTAGTTTCCATTATATTCAAGATAACTAAACAAGTCAATTGACAGAGAAAAGAATGCTTGACACATCTGAGATACTCTAAAAATACACAATAAACAGAAACAGAGTACTTTGTTTTTAAATGTTAGGAAAATGTCCATAGCAAATATTTCTGATACACTTCATAAATGGCACTACTGTAACTTGGGAGTTTACAGCCTGTATTTTGGTCAGAAAATTGCCTTGAGTGGTAGTTACCAACTCTTTGAACAAGGGTGAGGAACCTCCAAGCCCACAGGCAAGAGACAGATTCTAGTTTGATTTCATCAGAACTGTGGAGCAAGTTCCAAAACATGATGTGCTCATTTATGCCTTAAAGGCATGAAAATACAGCACAAATTTTAAATTCCTTGATGGCAATATAGTAAAAGATCACAAAACACAAATTTTGGTCTATAAAAGTACTTCTGTCTCTTTTTCTTCCTCTCTATTAATTCTCTACCCAATTTGGTATAGTGAAAAGAATGCTAACCTAGAGTCAGATGTGATCTGGGTTTGAATCCTGCCTCTAGTACCTACTAGTTGAATGACCATAGATGAATCACTTATTGTCTATGGGTTTCAAATTCCTGATCTATAAAATGAAGCTAACAGTATCTACTGGACCTACTATGCAGGATTTTGTCAAGATCAAATGAGATAATGTACGTAAAACCTTTGAAAACCTTAAAGTCTCAGATAAAGATAAAGTTGCTGTTGTTATTCTTCCCTTAACTATGATGTAAGTAGTACATGATTATTTTAACTCTGAAACAGCATTTTATCCTTTCAGTTCTTAAAAAATAGATTGAATAGAATATTTTATATTTCTAAAAACAAATTCAGTAAATAAGCTACTTTTTTTTAATTGTATGGCTCTGAATTTACTCTCCCCCTGACTCTAAATAAAGAAAAGATTATCCTTAGGATATTCATAATCCACCCACTGGGCACAATAGGGTTTGAGCAAGTCCAAGTGCAGTTAGACTAGAAAGTGGACCTGGCTCCTGCATCAGTTTTCTGAACAAATTCTTGAAAATAAGTTGATCAATAAGTATTTATTAAACATCAACTATGCACCAGGCATTGCGCTAAGGGGTAGGGACAGAAAGGCAAAAAACAGTTATCTCCTTCTCAAGGCGTTCATAGTCTAATAAGAGCAACAACATGCAAAGAGATCATCAAAACTGAGCAATGCCTGAAATCAGAACTGTTAGAACTGTAACAGACAAAAATTCTGGCACACTCAATCCTGCAGACACTGAGCTGAACTGTATATTCAAGAAATACATCAAAAACCTAGAGGCCAAAGGCCAAAGGCATATGCTAAGAATGTCATGTGTCTGAGTAATGAGAATGTTAGATTGTGTACTCCTCTGGCTGTTTAGGACAAGAGTACACTACACTTGAAATCAATTTATCTCTCATTTGGCCCAAAACAAGTCTATAAAGCAAAAAACTTCACAGTGCTATCAACACATTCCCATAAAGTTACAAAAATAAGTTAATATCTCATATCAAGATAAATTAGAATTACTATGTAAAGCCAACTATCATGATTGAAACAATTACAAACAACATATTTCTTTAAAAGATTATAAATATTGAATATAAAATCTTGTCAAGAAATTTCTGCTTTATCTTTTCTAAAGAAAATATTAATTAAAATTTAATAAATACAATAATCAAGAGCAGACACCACCAAAAGTTTTCCTCAAGAAAGAGTGAATATCAAGGATTGGATCTAAGTATTTGAATAAAACTTCTGAAAAGGCTTTCCAATTCTGTTTGTTCCTAACTCCTCTTAATTTAAAAGTCCATATGGTTTTGCAAATGCATAGTTTTTGTTCAGTTAGTCAGTAAATAAGTATTTATTAAGCATCTACTGTGTGTCAGGCATTGTGTTACACACTGGAGATACAAAGAAAGGCAAAGATAGTCCCTGTTCTTGAAAACCCCAAAATCTAATGGAGGAGAAAACAAGAAAACACAACTATGTACAAATGAGATATATTAAGGATAAATTGGAAGTAATCAATATAGGTAGGGCACTAGGGGGAATCCCTAGGGGCATCCCATATAAGATGAGATATTAGCTACAACTTGAAGAAAGCCAGGGGGTGGAGATGAAGAGTGAGAATAAGTATACCAGGCATGGGGAAAAGCCAATAAAAATGCCCAGAGTTGGAGGTGGAGTATGTTGTGGGAGGAATAGCAAGGAATTTAATGTCACTGAATCACAAAGTATGTGGGGGAGAGGGGAATAAATAAGGTATAAGAAGACTGGAAAAGTAGGAGGGAGCCAGGCTGTGAAGGATTTTGCCAAAGAGAAGATACTGTATCAGTTCTGGAGGTGACTGCCACTGGAATGCAAGGTGGGCTTGGGAGAGTGGGGGAATAGGTAGAGAGAAGGGAGATGAACTGGTCAGATGCGCACTTTAAGAAGATTAATTTGAAAGGTGAAAAATTTGTCAGAAGAGAGAAGGGGGTATATACAAGAGATGTGACAGGACTTAGCAACAGATTAGAAAGGGAGAGGGGTGAGGTTTAGAGTGAGGAGTTGAGGATTACACCTAGGTTGTGAGCCTGGGTGATTGGAGGATGGTGTTAATCTTAATTGTGAAGTTAGGGTGTTTGAGAGGTTATCAATATGTATGTTGAAGTTTGGTTTGATGAGGAGTTGAGGGGGAGGTAAGAAAGACTGTGCACCAGACATTAAATTCATTGAGGAAAGAAAGAGAGATTGGTGCACAACAGTAACAAGAATTTTGATTAGATGGTAGATACAGTTTGAGTAAACTTCAAAGGAAAGGTTACTGAATGATGTTGGCAGAGAGAGAACCTGGAAGTAGCAATGAGGACTAAGTAGTTAATTCAAACTCACCTACCCTGATAAATCAGGGAGAAGTAGGAGCAAAGATCTAAAATTAGTTGGATAAATAAATGATTAGTGTTTTGTTCCAAGACAAAAAGTAGATTCAAATTCAATCCTACTTATGGAACTTCTTGCAAAAATCACAGGTAATATAAGATGTGAGCTCATTGTTTGCTAAATGAAGAGCAACATTTAACTTTCTCTAAAGGAAATTACACAAACCAATGTTAAGTATTTTGAAGACAAGGTAATAGGGTATAGTAGAATAATGGTAGACATTTATAACATATTTATTTTATAAAATGCTTTACCTCTGTTGGCTCATTTGAGCCTCAAAATGATCCTTTAAATAGGCACTAGAGATATTTCTACCCTCATTTTACAGATGTGGAAACTGAGGTTCAGTGAAGTTAAGTGACTTGCCCATGGTCACATATATAGGAAGTGTCCACATAAGCATGATTCAAACACAGAATGCTATTTATTCCACTGTACCATGCTGCTAGGCTTAAAATCACAGATCATAAGACCTGGGTTCAAATGCTGGCTATCTGCAGCTATAAGGACCATAAACCTCAGTTCTGCCAACTGTAAAACTGGTCTGGGAAAGGGGATTTGAAAACTTTAAAATACAATAAGTTATTATTATTATTATTGAAATTAACAGGTGATAGAATGAAGATAACATTTCAGGCATTATCACTTTACACATAAAGGTACTCATAGAGGTTAGAGCCAGTAAGGATATGAGACCTTGCCTTATTGGAAAACGACTCACCTAAGGTCACATAACTGACTAATAGTAAAGCAAATATTCATTATCAGGTCTCTTGATTCCCAGTTTCTTACTATTTCCACCATATTAACTATCAACAGCATATAAACAACATTTAAAACAAAATTAACATTATTAAAATTATCAAAAAGTCACAGGCTTTCTTCTTTGGTTGTATTATTCTAGTTTAGATTGGGAAAATTAAGATATTCCAAGCATTTACTTCCCTCTACTCACACATGAAAGAGTAATTTTCAGTTAAAGATTTTTTGGGGAGGGCTTCTTAGACCAGTTTGAATACACTGTATTCAAAGTGTTGATAAAATCATAACATATTCAACTAATCCATCTTGTAATCCCCATATGCTGATGTGCTTGGGGGGGAAGGGAGAGATGAGAGATAAATAATGCTAAAAATTTCTAGTTCATCGGGTCATAAAATAAAAACTGGAAGAGACCTTAGAAGTCACCTAGCCCAATTTCTTCATTTTAGAGATAAGTAAACTGAGGCTTGGGGAGGTTAAGCAACCTATATATAACAAAGCTAGAATATGAACCTAGGTCTTCTATCTCCAAATGAGTGCCTTTTCTACTGAATTATGCTTCCTTAGATATTAACGTATTTTAAAAATAAATTTTTATTAACTTGCTTTTTACATCACCTCTATTTCCCACTTTATAACTCTCCAACCACTTCCTTCACAACTATCCCTTACAATAAAGGGGGAAGAGGAGTTTTGCTAAACTAACCAATATATTATGGAGTCTACTATTATATGCAGTGTCCTACAATCCACAGTCACCACATTCAAGAAAGAAGCAAGGTAAAGTGCCATCTATATTTCTTCTTTGAGGCCAAACTTGGTTATAATAATTTTGCAGCATTCAGTTGTTATTCTTTTGTTGCTTTTCTTTTCATTTACATTATTATATTCAAGTAGTATGCTTTTTTTGGGTTCTGCTTATTACTTAATTTTGGATCAGTTCATATAAGTCTTCACATGATATGCTATATTCATTAGTTATTTCTTATAGCACAATATTATTACATTACATTTATGTACCACTGCTTGTTTAGTCATTTCCAAATTGAAGAGAACCTACTTTGTTTCCAATCTACTGATACAACCAAAACAATACTGTAAGTATTTTGGCTTATATGGGGTCTTTCTTTTTGTAACTGAACTCCTTGAGATATATGCCTAACAATGGAATCTGTGGGTCGAAAGGTATGAACATTTTAGTCACTTGCTTTGGGTAACTCCAAACTGCTTTCCAGAACAGATGGACCAATTCATAGTGTCACCAACAGTACATTAGCACACCTATCTTTCCACAACCGGCCCAATGTTAACTGTTGGCATCTTTTTGTCAACTTTGCTGGGTATGAAGTGAAACCTCAGAGTTGAGATAGCAAGGTGGCAAAATAGATAGAGTGCTAGATCAAAATTCAATACCTGAGTTCAAATTCAGCCTCAGACTTCTGTCTTCCCCAGTTTCCTCACTAGTAAAATGGGGATAATAACAGCACCTACCTATCACAAGGTTGCTGAGAAAATCAAATGAGATATTTGTAAAGTGCTTAGCACAATGTTTGGCACACAGAAGTCTAAAATAAAGGCTTGTTTCCTTCCTACCTTCCCTATTTTGATTTTCATTTCTCTTATTATTTGTGACTTAAAGAATTCTTTCATATTGTTGTTACTAGAATGAAATTCTTCTTTTGATCACTTAAATATTTGTTAGATGTTTATATATTTGTTAGATGTTCATATACCATGAATATCAGACTCCTACCTGAGATATTTGATACAAATTCCCCAACAACCATTTCTTTTCTTGTCCTACATGCATTAAATTTGTTTATGAGAAAGCTTTTGAATTTATGTAATAACTTTCCATTTTATGTTCTACAGCTGCTTCTATCCCTTAATATTTTTTTCTGGTTAAAATTTCATGCCTACTCAAAACTTGGAAAAAGTATATGACCTGCTTTTCTTTTAACTTCTTAATGATAAGACCTTTAATAATGATGTTATATTTATTACAAAATATCTCACCACCACCCCCCAATGATAAATATAGGAATAAAAAGAGGCAGACTAAATTCTTACCAACTGAACTTCACCAAAAGCACCTCTTCCAATTACTTTAATAACATCAAAATCTTCTGCCTTCATCTGTAGGCATCCAATTTTTGTCACAGTTCTCTCATCTACAATGAATTGAAAAATATAGATACTAATAAAAACAAATTCCATAATTAGTAATCATAGTTGTCAAAAAAAAATACAGTCCAATGAACTGGTTTGGGCTTTCAACTAAACCTGTGTGGAACAAGCTTTGAAAATTTACTGTCAATGTCTTAAGGCAGTCTAATATTATAATGCTCTGATCCTTGGAACCATAATCTTCTTGGTCCAAGATGTCTGACCTGCCACTACTCCCTAAAGTCCTCAGAGACTTGCCACCTACTCTATTACTTTTCTTGTTAGAATTTAAGTATTACTTGGACTTTCAATCTGCTATGAAATTAACACGAACATAAGACCTCCTTTACATACCTGTGTCTCCCTGCCTCTCTCCCCCCGCTTAGAATATGAGCTATTTGAAAGCACAGACTGTCTCAATTTTCTGTTTGTATCCTGGGCACTGAATACAGGACTTATCACATAGTAAGCACATAATAAACAAATTCATTAATCAACAGATCACTGTTTTCACCTTTATTTCAGATAACTGACTTCAAACAAAACTGACTGCAAAGTTTTTTGGGTTTTTTTGCAATTAAGTTACAGTAAAAGATAGTTTATCCCTCAGCAATACAAAGATCGAAGACAACTCCAAAAGATTCATGATAGAAAATGCTGTCCATATTCAGAGAAAGAACTATGGAGTCTGAATGCAGATCAAAGCATACTACTTGCTCTCCTTTTCCTTTGTTGTTTTCTTTTATTGCTTCATTCTCGTGGTTCCTCTCATTAGTTCTAATTCTTCTTTACAACATGACTAATGTGAAAAATATTTAATAAAAATGTATATATAGAGCCTATATCAGATTGCACGCCATCTTGGGGAGGCGGCAGAGGGAGAAAATTTAAAACTCAAAAGCTTATGAAAGTGAATGTTGAAAACTAAAAATAAACAAACTTTTAAAAAATGTTCAAGGACAGTTGAAACATAAATAGGAGATGCTTCTTTCATAAGGATAAAGGAAAATTTTTAAGTAATATTAAACAATACAATAGTAGTAATGTGGATTTGGATAAATGGAAGGCAACTGACTTCATTCAATATTGTAAGTGGTCCCCCAGTACCTTTCTGTGATGCTTATTAAAAATATATTGAATCTCTGAGGAAAAAAAAGAAAAAGATAGTTTATGTAGTGTTTTATAGATCTGAGTGTTCTATCATAATCCTGTCTCGGTTTGACTAATAGAATGATAGCTGACATCATGATAGTACATAATGATAACTCTTAAGCATATACTATAAGATCCTAGAGCATTTATTTTGAATAACCACAAAAAGAATATTAGTGTAATTGCAAGCTCCTCTCTACGACAATAAGACCTGGGGTCAAATCCTAATGCTGACACATACTGGCTATATGACTCTGGACAAATCACTTAACCTGTCTATGTTCTAGGCAACTCACTAAGAATAGTTTTTGCAGGAAAGATGTCAGCCTGCAGAGATGAAATGTATTTACTCATCTGAGAGATCTCTAAATCAATAAAATCCCAGTCACTATCTCTAGTTTTACTAAGTTTATTACATATATTAGAATTATAATTCTTTGCAAACTAGTAAGTACATAGTCTGTATAGTAGTACTTCTATCTCCATGGTTATTTGACTAACCAGAACATTAATTAGTACTACTTATATTATATACTTAAAATCCATTTATTATAACTGAATTTGTTTACTGTGTACCTATGTTATATTGACTTAAAAAAAAACTTTCATGCTTAACATCCTTTGATATATTTATATACCTGCAAGCTATTATCAGTATCATTAAATATATATTAGATAATATTTATATGGGTAAAGACATAATATTCATTTTATTAATATTTCAAAGGAATGATTACATTACTGATGAATCCACAGTAACCCAGCAAGTATTCTGCTTAACATAAAGAAAAAAAATTACAGTGGTCAAAGAATAAAAACAATTTTCTCTTCAGAGTTCTTTTAATAACTCATTGTGACTTGTGTATAAACTTGTTTAAATGACTTCCCCCCTTTAGATGTAAGTTTCCTAATCTGCAAAATGAAGGGGTTGTATTAGACAACTTCTAAAGTCCTTTTCAGTTGTGAATCTATGATCTAATTAACTGAGAAGTAATTATTCTCTATATACTGTCAATGTTTGTTAAACTTCTAGGAACTCCAATTAGAAATATAATTGTGCATTATTTTGCTGTAAAATTAAAAGATCCATAATTCTAACAAAAGTCTAACTAAAACTTTAATACCATTACAATATGAAGATATTTTTATGACTCCTTTGAAATAGTCATAGATGTGGCTGTATAGATGTTAAAAAAAAATTTGATGCAACTTACATCTAATTAAGAAATTGTCTATATTCTTGTTTTTCCTCAGAGCAGGAAAATTCAGATCAAAGTACAAGGAAGTTATACCATCCTGTTAAGAAAAAAAAAAGAACAGATTGTTAAAATTCTCAAACTTCTAAAAATATTTGGTTTCAATCTTTAAATTCTAGTCAATTTTATATAGATTTTTAATATGACACTTTAAATGACCTGTGATTTTATTCATGTGTATACAAACTCTACAAACACAAATCACAATCCTATCTAAAGGACTTAAGGGTTGCTTCAACCAAAAAACCTAGCTGATGGCCAATTTTCCGGTGATGTGGCTTTTCTAAGTTTAGTATGTTCATTACTCAGAGCTTTCTGGGTCTTTCTTCAAGCTCACTTACCAGGATATTGCCATATTTAGTGAGCTACTGCCATCACTGTTAAAAAAAAAAAAAAGCTCACCTCTATGACAGAATATTAATCACAGGAATCTTGCACATCTGAATAGCAAGATCATTTAGATTAGCAGGTGCCTAAAATTCATTTTAATAATATTAATAGTTTGACAAAATTGTTGTATTATATCCACATTTCATATAAAAAGGTAGGTTACTGCTATATGAAATGAAGCATGGTGTAATGGATAAAGAAAGAATCAGCATTCAACTCAGGAAGACCAGGTTTCTATTCCCACCTCTGACACATACTAGATGTTTGACTCTGGGCTAGTCATATAACCTCAGGCACTAAGCTTATAAATTGCAGAGAAGATGCCAAGCTGCTCAGCATTTGATAGTTACTTACATTGACAAAATCACAGGCCCAAATAAAGGGAATTTATTAAGTGTTTACTATGTACCAAAACTTAGTATCATGCTTTAAGTTCTAAATACTGGTAACACAAATACAAGGAAGACAGACAGTCCTTATCTTCAAGAAAATTACATTCTAATAAGGAAATGATGACCAGAGTGGTGTTTGTAAGAGTGAAAAATGATTAAAAGCATAGGACAGTATGTCCAGGAATGATATTATTAATTTCACTATTCTTCTTATAGAGGAGGAGGGGGAATGTAGAAGGAGAGAAGAATCATGAAGAAGGCATGGAAGCAGCATTATGATCAAGATAAAATGAAAGTTCACCAGAAACCCAGGATCAAAGAAACATTTTGACATTACTTTTTTTCCTTTGGCGCTCTGTTTTTCTTCCCTTAGGGAGCCCTGAGTGAGTCAAACTCTATCAAAATGAAGCTCAGATTCTAGCCACTGTTCTGCAACTTTTAATCTTAGAAGTGATTTGCCCTATCACAGTCATTATGGATCACAGGCTGGACTCAAACCTAAATTATTCAGTCTCCACTGGCCAGGTATTCACCCACTGTAGCACATTGCCTGCCTCTCGTATAGCCTTATCCATAATAAAGATATAACTCAATTTAGCAAATATATATGAGGGCCTACTAGGTATATTGCACTGTGCTAAATACAGCAGACAGACAAAATGGGAAGGTACAACATAACTTTAATACACTGTTGTATCAAATAGAAAAGAGTCTCCACACGGATGCTCTTGTTTGTTGTGAATGACATTGGATTGCATTACACTCCAAAATACTACAGAGACTACCCGATGGGATTCATTAATTTCTCTTTTAAAAAATATTCTAGGGCGCAGCTAGGTGGCGCAGTGGATAGAGCAGCCCTGAAGTCAGGAGGACCTGAGTTCAAATCCGGCCTCAGACGAAACACTTGACACTAGCTGTGTGACTTAACCCCAATTGCCTAAAAATTTAAAAATATATATATATTCTCCTTCAATACTTGTTAGTCAAAAATTTTAGACCTCTTCTGCAGCAATGAATTTTCCATGCAAAAGTTAACATCATACTGTACTTTTGTTTCCATATGTTCCATGTGTCCCTAAAAAACTGTTGCTTCCTACATATTATTTCTTATTTACGTAATTTAAATGTAGCATGTCATTGTAATGGTACTTGGTAATGTTTGTGTGACCACTTCTACAATAAAAATGTGTCACTTTGAATGTTTAAAAAAAAAGTGCTGCTTGCTGTGCCTTGTTGTCAAGCTGCCCCAAATCTGGGGCACCCAAGGCTTTGATGGTGATGAATATGACACCAAGTTGGCACCTTTAACAATATCTTCTCAAGCTTTCCTGTTTCTCCCGGATGTGCTTAAGTCAAAAGGTGCAGGGCAAACCTTACTGATGTGATCAAAAGCACCACAATTATCTCTATCAATTATGAGGTTTTTTTTCCTTAAATGGAAAACAAACAGGGTAGGATGAAGACTGCAGAAGTCTTTCCCTCACTATGTGATCTGTAAACCAAAAATGTTTGAAAAACCACTTATTTGAAACAAATCATCCACAAAAGATGAAGATATCTTAAATGTGTGATTACTGTGCATGTGTACATATGTATCTATAAATATGGTATCTACTTATACACATAAACATTGTTTCTCAAGAATGCACTTCCTTGAGGTCACTTAATCAGTGCTTTCCTGATTGACTAGTTCAAGATTAAAAGATACAACCAGACATAACTGTGTTCAACAATCTTCTTATAATCAATATCAAGACACCAAACAGGGAAACTGTCAACAAAGGAGCTTACTTTTACCACAGACAAACCTTACAGAGACCAAACAGAAAAGAGTCTCCAACCAGATGCTCCTGTTTGTTGTGAATGACATTGTTCAGATTCTAAAATACTGCAGAGACTAACTACCCAATGGGATTCATTAATCCTCAAACAGAAAGATCAACTTAACAAGTCACCCAGGAAAAACTAAGCGATCAAAGAATGCCTACTAAATATATGACATAAAATGTGTATGAGTAACTCATGTGGGTTAGTCAATTAGTACTCCTATTAAATTTTACATGGATGACAAGCTGGGACTAGAACTAAACTTGTAGAAGAAAGAGAATACTAGGTGGTTTTAAGGAAACTACTCAAGCTGCTTCTTGACAGAAACTCCCATCTTTTTAAAACACTAGAATTCTTCTAGTGGTATTATATAATATAGCAAATCACAAAACACAACAATTTCCCAAAATCTGCTGCACTAGGACATAGAGAAAGGCCTCCAGCACAATAAGAGATTAAAGCACGATTCAAAGTTCCTTAGAAACAAAACTCAAGTATGTCCCCAAACACACTCATGTGTATTCTGTACTATATTTAGATATGCCCCCCAAATAACTTGCTCAAGTGTATTTTTTTCTTACAACTATGGCTAATTCTCTTCTTCTAAATGAAATTAACTTTTTTGCTTCTATCCTACATACCTGCTTTTATAAAATGATAGAAATAAATACTCGCATTACCTTTCTTAAAAGGCTGTTCCAAGCACTCAATTAAAACTTAAAGCAGTTTAGAAATGTAAGCTGTTAATATTATTTCTCACTAATATGCAATTGACCTTGGGTTTTCAAAGGGTAAGTCAGGAAATCACAAGTTATATCAGGCTCCACACCAGGGCTTCTTGGTTTCCTTTGTAATCCCAGGCAGTTTATTCCATCTTCTACCGGAAGCCTTTCCCAATCCCTCTTAATTCTAGTGGCTTCCTGGTGTTAATTATTTCCTAGTTGTGCTATATACAGCTTGCTTATATGTATGTATATGTTTCTAATCTGCCCCACATTATGAGCTTCTGGAGGGCAGCGACTGTCATTTGCCTTTCTCTGTACCCTTAGTATATGACACAATTGTTGTTTTTCCTGTTTAGTTGTTTTCAATCATGTCAGACTTTTCATGACCCCATTTGGGGTTTCTTGGCAAATACACTGGAGTGGTTTGCCATTTCCTTCTCTAGCTCATTTTACAGATGAAGAAACTGAGGCAGAGTTAAGTGACTTGACCTGGGTGACACAGCTAGTGTCTGAGGTCAAAGTTGAACTCAGGCCTTCCTGAATCCAGGCCCAGCATTTTATCCACTGCACCACCTACATGCCCCAAGCTGACACAAAGTAAGGACTTAATAAATGCTTGTTGACTAAGTTACACATTTAATATTATTTTGAGCAGGGATCCAAAGGCTTCAAACAGACAAAGTAGGTCCATAACATACAAAAAAGTTAAGAATCTCCACTCTGGAAATTTCAAATCTGGGCCCCAGCAACAGATCATGTGTCTCTCAGAGGGCCAGATCAACTAAGTGTGGAGAGGACTATAATTCTTTTGATCACATTAATTACAAAAACTTTTATACTAAGTCGTGAAGGGATGCATCATTGTAGGAGACCAATATGGCACTGAAGTAATATAAAATAACTTTTTTAATAGGATTATGCATTTGAACAACTTCTGGCAAAGCTTGTAGAGAGGAATTAAATAAACAAAGGTCCAGTACTGGAAAAGGCAGGACCCTGCTTAATGAATATTAATGTAAGTATGACATTTTTATCATATGAAGGAACAAAAATTCTCTCTTAGAATTCATCCCTGAAATATTAAAGTCATTGGGAAAATTTGATTTAATACTGTTGCAAGACACAAGTTTTTAAGAACTTCATGAGTAAAAGGAATTTGTATTTCTGGATTTTTTTTTAAACATCAAACAGCTGTATCTTTACTTAATCTAACCTGTCTGCATTACTTTGAGACTTCTCTGACTTTTCCACCATACCCCCACCCCCCCACCCCCGCTTTTAGTTTCCTTTTTGTGTACTGTGTTCCTCCCCTTGGGGTCAGGAACTGTCTTTCTTTTCTCTTTCTTTCTTTTTTTTTTTTTTGTATTTGTATGCCCAGTCCTTAGCACAGGGCTGGGGACATGGTAGCGCCTTAATGAATGTTGTATTGATTGATTGGTTTTACCTTTATATTATAAAAGCTTTATCTCAAAAAAAATTTTTTTCCAAGAATTCCCCCATAGGGCATTAAAGAGAAATCAGCAATGGAAATGCTTTCCAAGGAAGATGAATCAAAAAAGAATCTTTAAGGATAAAACAATAAAGCTCAACACTTCAAAGAAATTATTTGAAACAATTAAGATGATAGCCTTCTGCCTAGCAGAAAAACAGTAGTATCTTAAAGATAATAGGTCAAAATTAATTCAGCTAGGTGATGAGTCCAT